GTGCATGCTCTGGGCTGGCTCCCGACCTCCGCGTGACCGTGGCCACCAGCTCGCTGTCAGAAAGAATGATGTCGGGGCACCTGGGTGTCTCAGTCAGTTAAGCATCCTACTTCGGCTCAGGTCATGATCTCACAGTTTGTGGGTTCGAGCCCCGCGTTGGGCTCTGTGCTGACAGCTCAGAGCCTGGAGCCTGTTTCAGATTCTGTGTCCCCCTCTCTCTGACCCTCCCCTGCTCACACTGTCTCTCTCTCTCTCTCTCTCCCTCTCAGAAATAAATAAAACATTAAAAATTTTTTAAAAAAAAGGAAGAATGATGTCATTAGCATTTTGTCACATGCTCCTTTGTATCTGTTAAAATGATTATATGCGTTTTCTATTTGTTTTGTTAATGTGGTGGATTTCACTGATTTTGTGAGCCTTAAGCATACCCTGCCCCTCTGCCGAGACCCCGCAGGGCCAAGCTGCGCTGTCCTCTGCTCTCTGAGGGCTCCCGTGTGACCACCGGTGTCTTCTTAAACACATGGGGACGGGAAGTCGTCTGGGCCTTGAGCTTTCCTGGTGAGAGGTTTTAATTCCACCTAGAGACTAAGGGTGCAGCGTCCTGATCAGGACTCCTTTTCGTGGCGTTTTCAGGACACCACTTAGCTTCCCACCGCCCCCTGTTGGTTTTGGTCAGATGTCCTTCGACTGACTCAGACTCAGACTGTCCTGAGACTCATTCATAATAACACCTCCTCCCTGTGCTCCTGGGTCCCTCATTCCTGACCTTGGTCATCTGGGCTTTCTCCCTTTTTCCTCAAATGGATTCATCTTTCCAGACACTCAGTTTGTGGTCTTCTGTCCCAGTGGTGTGTCTCCTGCTTGGGGTCTTCTCTCCGTTGTTCCCTCCCTTCTGCATCTTCTCTTCAGTGCCTTGTTCCCCCTCAGTTTCTCAACTTGGAAGCTTTGGTCATTGTATCAAGCTTTTCTTTCTTTCTCTTGTTCTTTCTTTCTTTCTTTTGATATTTATAATTATAGCTGTTCATTGCTGCAAGCTTTGCTCCATCTAGAACCCGCAAATTTAGAGATCACTACTTCTCCTTTTTGTTCTCTGGGGTTTAAAATTTTTTTTTTTTAATTTTTACATACTTTTTGAGAGAGAGCAGACGTCGGGGAGGGGAAGAGAGAGGGGGACAGAGGATCTGAAGCAGGCTCTGCACTGACAGCAGAGAGCGTGATGTGGGGCTCAAACTCATGAAATCTGAGACCATGACCTGAGCCAAAGGCAGATGCTCAACTGACTGAGCCACTCAGGCATCCATTGGGTTTATTTGTCTCTATTTTTAAGAGTCTCATGCTCTACCGACTGAGCTAGCCGGGCAGTTATTTGTCTCTATTTTTAGAGAGAGAGAGAGACAGCACAAACATAAGCAGAGGAGGGGCAGACAGAGAGAGAATCCTAGGCAGGCTCCACACTCAGCACAGAGCCCGATGTGGGGCTTGAACTCACAAACCATGAGATCATGACCTGAGCCGAAACCAAGAGTCAGACGTTCAACCGACTGAGCCCCACAGGAACCCCGTCTGGGTTTTTGTTTTTTTTTACATTGTTTTTGGATGACCTCTGGTCTCCCAGAGACAGCCCAGAGCGTGCCCCACGCGGTCCTCATGCGGACACGTCGCCCAGCCTGGCCCGGGGGCTGCCCCTCGTCCCTGGTCTCCTGTGTGCGACCATTTCTCCCAGGCCGGACGCACCTGCAGAGTGCTGGCCTGCTGTAGAAGCCGCCGTGGTGGGAGCTGGCTGTGGGTTTGGGGTGACCCCGCGGGGGCGGCACCCTGTCCTTTCCCCACGTGCACCCGGCCCCCCGCCACTCGGCACTGGCCATCGGGGCCCCGAGGCTGCAGGTTCCTCCCTCTCCTGTCCTGTGCTCCGTAGAGACCGGTCCGAGGGCCGCGCGGCTACCGGTGGGGCTGCAGGGAAGTGGGTCACTGCCCCCTGCACCACCTGCCACCCGCTGGCTTCCTGCACCGCAGCGCGTGGCCAGGCCTCCCCGTGGGGTCCGTTGACCTTATACCATGTCCTTGTTCCTTCTGATGACCTCCCCCCGTGGGGTTACACACACCGTCTGGAGGGCGAGGCGTCTTGAGCCACCTGTGGGCCTCCTCCATGGACCCTGAGGCCACCGCTCTTCTCCCCCCTGCTCACCATCAAGTTTATCTGTGTCCACTCGGCTCCTCAGTTAATTTCGAGTTTGAAAAAAAGTTTCGTGATCGTAGTTTTAATTTTCAAGGGCTGTGTCTTGTTTTTATTATTTTAGAGAGCGTGTGTGCATGTGCATGGGGGAGGGGCAGGGGGAGGGGGAGAGAGAGAATCCTAAGCAGGCTGTGTGCTGTCAGTCTGAGCCTGACGAGGGGCTTGATCCCACGACTTTGGGATGGTGACCTGAGCTGAAATCCAGGGTCAGATGCTCTCTGCACTCCCCTGGGGGTGCCCCCCGGGAGGCTCGATGCCTCTGTGCCCGCTGGAGGAGGCGGTGGCTTTGCCAGCCCTTGTCCGTTACCAGTCGGGAGCTGTGGAGCTGGGGGTCTCTTCTCCCTGTGCTGCTGTTTTCCACGGAGGCCAGTGACTGTGGGGGTCGGCTCTCACTCCCACTCGCGAGTCTGAGGCCGAGCCCTTCGCTTCCGTGGCTGCGCGGGCCTGTCAGCCCCGGAGGCCCGGGCTGGTCACTGGAGTTGGTGCGCCCCAGTCCCTGCTGCACCGGCCTGACCTTGGGGCTCGGCTGGCACCCTGAAGGTCCTCCTGGCCTTGGGGGTTGTGGGGGGGGGTGTGCCCTGCGGATGGAGGGTCTGCAGATCGTTGACGGTTCTGAGCTAGAGCCTTCCTTCTGCGTGTTCCCCAGGGCACTTGTCCTGCCCGGGCGCTGCCCTCCTGGCCGTTGGCAGGGGCCTGGGAGGAAGCTGTCGGGCCCCTGGCCTGCATCGAAACGCACCCTTATCTTCACATCAGGTCAAAATTTTGAAGGCACCTGTGTGCTAGTGTGTTTCCTTTTTTTTTTTTCCCTCTCCAATTTTTATTTGGGGAGGGGACAGAGAGAGAGAAAGAGAATCCTGACACTGGGCTTGATCCCATGATGCTGGGACCGTGGCCTGAGCCACCCAGGCTCCCCAAGTGTGTTTACTTTTAGCATTCACTTATCGGGAGGAAGCCTAAGGAGAAGCAGCCGGGGTGAGTTAATTAGGAATCGGTTTTCCGTGAGTTTGTATCTGTCAGCATCTGTGTACGTTTGTACGCGCACGCTGGCATCGTGCGATTCATCAGCCTGCTGTGGGGCTTGCTGACCTCGCCTGAGTTAATAACTCATTTGGGGGGTGAGTGGGAGTCACTGCTAACAGGGACGGGGTTTCTTTTGGGATGACGGATTGGGAATATGCTACAACTGTTGAATCGTATACTTCCAGTGGGAAGATTTTATTTTATAGCGTGTGAATTATGTGCAATGAAGATATGAAAAGATAATGTGCTGTAGTAATTCTGTGCCCCTAAGCCGGCAGGGAGCCCCCTCCCCCTGCCCAAGAGCCCCCACTCAGGCCTCACAGAGCCGGCAGGGAGCCCCCTCCCCCTGCCCGAGAGCCCCCACTCAGGCCCCACAGAGCCGGCAGGGAGCCCCCTCCCCCTGCCCCGAGAGCCCCCACTCAGGCCTCACAGAGCCGGCAGGGAGCCCCCTCCCCCTGCCCCGAGAGCCCCCACTCAGGCCCCACAGAGCCGGCAGGGAACCCCCTCCCCCGTCCCGAGAGCCCCCACTCAGGCCCCACAGAGCCGGCAGGTGGGTCCTCTGCTGCTCTAGGTCTTCCGTCAGCGCCTCTGCTCACCTCCCGGGCTTGCTGGGCCAATAGGGAGGTGGTGCTAGGCCCTGATGCCCTCTGTCCTGCCAGGGCTGTGGCCTTGGGCCAGTGGCCCTGATCCTGTGTCGGTTCAGCCGGACTGGAGGGCTCCAGGCAGGGCAGGGGTGCTCCACGGGGAGGACGTGCTGACCGCCAGGTCCCCCTGCCAGGTGACATGCCGGCCACCAGCCCCTCGGGGTGATGGCTCCCAGGCACCGTCAGCAGCATGCCTAGGGTGGGCAGGCCAGACTGTGAGCCACACGAGAGCCGAGGAGGCCACACAGCCGTCCCCTTCCCATCGTCGGAGAGGGGGAGTCAGCACCCAGCTGTGTGTGGGTGAAGGAGAAGGCCCTGGCTTCTCTCCCTGGCCCAGCTCAGGGCAGCCTTTGCTGGAAGAGTAGATCTGGGGAGCCAGCGGGTGCTGGGGGTAGTGGGGAGTCTGTGTGGTGGGGACCCGCGTGGCAGCCGGGGGTGGGGCGTGGACAGCCCCTCACCCTGCGGCTCCTAATGTGTCCCTGCCATGGGCTTGGGCCTCCCGTGTTCAGCGCTGTGGGCACACGGCCTGCGGTGACTTCTCCAGCGCGGGCGCGGCCCGTCTGCGTCCGCTCCTGCCGCTGCCGTGGCTCACGGGACGCGCTTACCCCGGAAGAGGTGTGTGTGCGGACCGTGTCCCGTCCCCCGGCAGCCCCCTGCCGCCCCGGCTCTGCCTGCTGCTCCCCCTGACCCTGCCCGGACGGCCCACGCTGGCTGGGGCCCTGGCTCTTGGTGGAGGGGCTGGCGGGGGGGCCGGCCGCCCTGCTGGGGAGCCAGAGCAGGAGGCGAGCCTGGGCACCCAGCTGTGAGAGCGGGTGTCCCCGCGGGGGGCCACGGCCATCGAGCAGTCTTGTCTGGCCCTGTCAGGAGCCCTGTCTGTGTGGGCATGTCGCGGGGGGCAGCCCCAGGCCGGCCAACCCACCAGCCCCTTGCTCAGGCTGCAAACCAGTGCTGTGCAGGCGCGGAGGCTGGGGCAGTCCTAGGGACCCTGGGGACTTCGCAAAAGCTTGGAGCACACGAAAAGTGAACTTAAAACAGGGAAGGGACCAGGTCCGTCTGCTTTCCCGACGTCGGGACTCAGTGGTGACATCTCTGTTGTGTCCTAGGGAGGCGTCAGATCCACCACCTGGGGAGCCAGCTGCAGCTGAACCAGCACTGCCTGGACACGGCCTTCAACTTCTTCAAGATGGCCGTAAGCAAGCACCTGACCCGCGGCCGGAAGATGGCCCACGTGATCGCGGCCTGCCTCTACCTGGTGTGCCGCACGGAAGGCACCCCGCGTATCCTTTGCTTCTGGGGCCTCTCGAGGAGCCCCGTCTTGGCTCCTTCTTGGTTGGCCTCCCCGGGCTCAGGACTTACAGTGACTTGGTGTACTTCACCGAGGCGTCCCGGGGGCTGAGCCGTCAGGGGTGAGGAGAGCCTCTTGGAGGGGACGGCGTGTGTTCCATTACTGCGCTGAGGCCGCCTGCGCTCCCGTGCGCCCCGGCAGACGCGCCACGCACCCGGAATTCTGTCTGTTGCTCCCCCTGGAAAACCCTCCCAGAGCTGCCCCACCCCACCCCGGCTGTCCCCCTCCGGGCCCCACCCCCAACCTGGCTGTCCACCCTCCGGGCCCCACCCCCACCCCGGCTGTCCACCCTCCGGGCCCCACCCCCACCTCGACCCCGGCTGTCCACCCTCCGGGCCTCCTTGTGTCTCTTTTCCACCGTCACTCGGCCCCCTTCGCCCGTCCTGCATGGGACCCCTGCTCCTGTCCCCATGTCCTCGTTTCGAGACAGTGTGTCCGCTGGCAGCTTCCTGCGGGCAGCCTCCCTGTCCTCTCGGGGACGCGCTGGCGCACTGCGGGCCGCACGTTGGCCTCCAGAACGTGGACGGCAGTGCCCGCAGTCTTCTCCCGGGCTCGGGGCCCCGTGCTGGGGCTGGCGTGCGGTCCCCTGGAGGTCCTAGCGCCTCCTCTTTGTTCTCTGAGCTGTGGACGCGGAGCCGCCGCTGCCCTCTGGCCGCTCGCGGGCCCTCCCTGGACGTCACCCCCGGGCCCCCCGCCTGCTTTCCGGCGCCCTCCCGCCTCGGCCTGCTCGCCCACCTTCCCCTCTCCACTGGGCCCTCGTTTGCGCTCCGCCTTCCAGGCCGAGGAGCTCTTCCTGTTCTCTGCCTGCTCCTGGTGACGTCCGTTCTGGGGGCCGTGCTGTCTTCTGCTCGCCCCTGGGCTCCCCTCTTGGCGTCTGTGTCCTCCGGTGGATTCGTGTCCGTCACGCTGTCCTCACGGGCAGGGGCCCCGGCGTGCGTGGCTGGGCCTTTGGCCGCTGTTCCGATCGGGCGACACTCAACACCAGGGTCTTTTGTTTAAATGTCGTAAGGTCTCGGAAAGTTCCAGTCCCAGCACGCGCCGCGGCAGAAGACGGTGCGGGGGGCCTCACCTGCGTCCTACCCCCGCCCCCGTGCACTGAGCAGCGAGAGGCCCGGCCAGCCTCGCTCTGGGGAGGGCTGCACGGGGGAGGCGCACGGAGCTCCGGTCGGGCTGGCTCTGCGTCCTGAGTGTACAGAGCGTAGGGGGCAGGGCGCAGGTGTGTGGGCCGGGCTCCAGGGTCTGCCCCCACCCTTGCCCGCCTGCCCACCCCCCGTCCAGCAAGCAGAAAGAGGCATCCTCAGAGGCACCGGCTCGTGACCCCCGCGGGCGAGGCCGGCGGGGCGGGGGGGGGGGGGGGGGGGGGG